CCCTCAGTTTCTTCTCCCGAAGTGGGGATATGTTGACAATAGCACAGCTGTTGTCACCGAGAAGGTGGTGTAGGTGACGTCCTGGCAATGGGATTGGCACGTAGTTTCCCGTCAGCTGCACTGTTGCAGTGGCTCTGGCTGGAGGAGGGGTGAGGCCTGGTCTTGAGGCTTGTGTGTCTGTCACCTCCCTGCCTTGTTCCCTAAGCCAAAGCCAGGCCAGAAAGAGGAGGGGGCACTGGAGACAGGCTGCTGCCTGCCGTGGGCGGGTGCCCTCCCCTCTCCCCTCTCCCCCTCCTTCCTCATTCCCGCCTCCCTCGCTCCCCACCGACCTTGCTCCCCTCCTCCCCTGGTGCCCACACCTGGAAAGTGACATCCTGGTGCCCATGTCTCCAAAGGATCCATGGAGGATGGACGTTTGAAGCTGGACCGGAGGCTGGCGAGAGACACAGCTTCCGCCCAGGCCCTCGGCCCCTTGGCAGGGAGGTAAGCCCATGAGCAGCCTCGAGTCCGGCCGTGCTGTAAGCCATGGGCTGCCTCTGCCTCTCACGCCCCCGGGGCAGGGCCCCCGCTGGCCAAGGCCTGGCAGGGCGGCCACACAAGCCCCTGACACACCTGCAGCTCTGAGGCTGGCCGGGCAGTGGTCCTGCCACCTCTGTGGCCTGACCCAGGGCCTGCAGTGAGGACCAGCACCACCCCCATGCTCCCTGCATGGTTCCCGGCCCAGGGGACACTGTCGTCCACACTCCTGTGTCTCTGGTATGATTGGCAGGCTGACTGTCCAGGGGACACTGAGGCAGGGGCCCCTGCATCCAGGTTCCACGTCCATGTCTGAGTCCTCACAACCAACCGGCCACAGTCCCTGCACCTCTAGTATCTTCCACCTCCAGCAGTGGCTCGGCCTTCTCTGGCGGCCACTTCATGCAGGTCCCTTATAGGGGACCCTGGGTCCAGTAGCAGAAGAGACTGGCCTAGGCTGGGGTACTGAGGGCCCCTGCCTTCCCCACCTCCCATCCAGCCGGTCCAGCCTGGGCCTAGTTTTGGGGACCTCTTGCAGTCCCCACCCTCACCCCAGGATCACCCCCTGAACCTGGGCCATCCTCCTGCAGTAGCCCGGTCCCTGCTCTGTGTGCCCCCAGCCCTCTCAGCCCCAACTCCCCCACACCAGGAGGGTTGTCCTTCCCGCCGCCCCCTCTCTGCCCGAGCACCTTTGGGGCAGCTGCTTCCTTGCCAATGTAACCTTCCCGGGCACTGTGGCCTCTCATCGTCTGGGGTTCAGGCACATGCTCAGCCCCCTCAAGGACTCCCTGTGCAGCTCCAAGAGCTATTCCTTTAGCCCATCGCCCCGCCCCCCAAACCTACCCAGCATTTCCTGACGCCAAAGTGGGTCGGGCCCCCTACATCCTTCTCAGGGGCCAGCAGTGCCCTCCTGATCCCCAGCCCTGCCCTGTCCTCCTTCCTGGCACACTGCATGGCCTGGAGGTTCTTGGGCATCTCCCGCCCCTCACCCTCTGTCCTGAGACTGAAGTGCCCTGGGCAGTGGTCTCCAGCCTCCCCTTCCCCATGTGCAACCATGTGCAACCATGTGCCCTCCGTGTGCAACACGTGCCCTCCGGGATCCCATGTGTAACAGGTCAGAGCCGAGGGCAAGGGGCGCTCCAGAGAGGACAGGCCAGCAGGTGGCCTCCAGGGGGCTGGCTTTGCCTCTTCCCAGCATCAGCCAGAGCCCCCCAGGAGCCCATGGGACAGATGCCAGCAGCCCCCACCCCTCACAGGGTCTGCCTTTAGGGGTCTCGAAGGGTATAGAGCTTATTAACACAGAGCTAAGAGGCCGGTAGGACCGTGGTTGGGGCAGCGTGGAGTGGGGAATACAGATAGTCAGTTAGGTCTCTGGAGAGACGGGGTCCTGAGACCCAGGGCACCCCAGGTGGGGCCAGTGCAAACCCTCGATCTGTACTTCAAGTCATTGACCTTGAGCAGTGTCGCATGCCCCCTGCCAGTCTCAGAGCTGGCAATTGTGGGATGTATCCACCTCAAATGGGGGGCGCAATTCCCCCAACATCTCAACCCCTCCCTCCCATCCCCCCTCACTCCCCTCCCGTCCCCCCTCCCCCCCCTCCGTCCCCTCTGGGGACATTCCCTGCTAGTGCACCTCCCCTGCCTGTCACCCCCAGGAATCCGCACCCACCCTGCCTTCCTAAAGCCCCCTTAGCTTCGCCAGTGGGGGGCTGTTTGGTCCTTTGGGGTGAGCCTTATCTTGCCCCCTTCCCTACCTACCCAACCCCAGCCTCAGCCTGGTCAGTGGAATTGGAATTCCTACCAGAAGGGGCAGCATTGGTCTGGACGGCTGTCTTCCCAGCACACACCTGCTCCCTCTCGTCCTTCAGAAGGGGGTGGGGCGGGGGATCCTGAGAGGTCAGTATGGGGCTCCAAGGAGGCCACCTGCATCTGCACGTCGAGGCAGACGGCCAGCAAGATCGTGGGCTTGTCCCCGGCCTCAGAGCCTTCCCACCTGAGCACGTGCCCCCCCACCCTCACCCTGACCAGGTCCCACAGGCAGAAGTGAGTCATCCACTAGTCTGCCCAGTGGCCCATGCCTGCCCCACCTCCCATGCAGCTGGGATCCCAGCCCAGGGCTTGGCAGCCCGAGGGCACTCAGGACTGGTGCCAGCTGTCCCCTCTAAGCCAGCCTCCAGGCTGCAGCTTCCATGGCCAGGCCCCGGTCACCTCTCCTGCTGCCCACATCCAGGGCTGAAGGTCACCGCTTCCCCTGAGGCCAGTTTCTGGACCGTTGGGGCCCCTGGGTCACAGGAGACAACCTCTTCCCCCTTTCCGTTCCCAGCTGGGACCACGGTGCCAGTGGGGGCAACCAGCCGGCCATGGCAGCCGGTGGCGAGAACACTGGGTTGGGCCTTGGGAGGCCTGTCCACCTGGCATCTCTGGAAGGAAGGGGCTGCCCAGGCCCCGCAAGCCCCTGTACTTCTTGCACACCGTCTAGCACCTCCAGGAGAGGTGTCTTCACCCCCATTTTACAGATGGGAAAACGGAGGCTCAGAGAGAGGGATTTGCCCGGGTCACATGGCTCATGGGAGGGCAAGCCAAGATTCAGACCAGGGCTTGGCCTCAGGAGCCCATTCTCTAACACACCGGGCCTCTCGAATCTGACCCGCTGGCGGTAGGCAGTGGGCGGTGCTCTTGCAAGGCCTCCGGGGGCTCTGGTGCACACTGAATTTGAGGACCACTGTCCGGGTTCCTGAGGCCAGCAGAGCTCTCAGACTCATGCTGTGTCCATCCCAGGGGTCTATCCCAGGGGTCAGCAAGCCACAGCCCCCCGGCCCACTCCTGTGCTTGTAAATAAAGTTTTATTGGCACATGGCAATCAGAGGGCTGCTTTCATGCTCCAAGGGCAGGGCTGAGTCCTCCCCACAGAGATGGGGCCTGTGTGGCCCGCAGAGCGAATTGCTGTTCACTCCTCTACGGGAAGTGCCTGCTGCCCTGCCCTGGAGCGTGAGGGAGGCCCTGGCTGCATAGCCGCTGGCCATCGGGGCCTCCCAGGAGTTGAGCCTCTGTGGGGCTGGCTCCTTCCTGCCACCGTCAGGGGGATCCTCTCGGGAGCCAGCACCCTAAGTTTAGAATGGGGAGGAGGGAGCGAGAGGGAGCCCGGAGAATACCCTGCAATGTCTTATCCCTCCCTCCGCACCCCGTTCATGGCCCTGCGCCCCCAGAGTGGCCCCTCCAGCAGCCCCAGGTCACCCGGGAATCAGCCACTGGGCCCATCCGTTGCCTCCTCAGCGTCTGGGCTCAGCCCCAGGGCTGCTCGCTCTTTCTGGAACACTCTTCCGTGTCACCTCCCCTGCACGTCCATGGGTGGGACGGGGCACAGTCACACTGACAGCAGCTGCCACACCACAGGTGCATACAAACACCTGTGCCCCGGGCCCCAAGGGCTGGTGGAGAGGGCCAAGCCCCGCCTGTCCCCATGGCCACAGGTGGGTGTAGCCGGCGTCTTCAGCCACTTCCTGGTGGACATGTGCCAGGAAGTACAGGTCCCTCATGGAGGCACAGGCTCAGCACCCAGGCAGCGGTGGCCTGCGGCCAAGGGCACTTGGACCCCAGCCCAGGGCCCATGGTGACGTAGAGGCCTGCACTCCTGCGGGGTGCTGGGCCCCTGGGGCTGAGAGCAGAGCCCTAGTTACTGCTTCTCAGAGGAGACCCCACCAAGCAGGGGGTGTCAGCACCTACAGGCTCCGCCCTCCTGGCCCTGTGGTCACAGGCCTGTCCTGGACACGGCATGAGTCAGAGCTCTGCTGGCATCGGGAACCCAGATACCCCTCCCCCAACCCGCCCATCCCTGCCAGCTGCCTCCTACCTATCCCACCTACTCACATGCGTGTTTGCGTGTCCCCAGCTCACTCGAGGTGCCAGCCCCGCCAGACCCCACCTGTGGCTCCCTGTGGCTGGAGGAGATGCCGTCGGCCAGAGGGGCAGGCTTGGTCACTCCCTGGGCCCTGCAGAGCTGCGGTAAGGGCGAGCCTCCGGACAGGCCCTGGGCTGGCTGGTTGGGTGGCCGGAGAGGTCCTTCGGGGACCCCCTCCACGGCCTGCCACTCCGGCGAGGTCCTGTGCGTGTAGAGACCCTTTTCTAAGTGAAGAGCATCCATGTTTCAGTATTAAAGTGTTTGGAGGCTTTTGGGACCCAGCGGCCTCTGTGCTCTATTGTGACTGATACTGGCTTCAAAGGACAGGCAGCCCGTGCACCCCAGCCCCCGCCTCCCTGTACTTGTCTCAGCCACACGTGGTGGGGGCGGGATGTGGGGTGGTGTCTGGGTGGGCAGTGCCGCCTGGTGAGGGTGTGAGACCAGAGCCAGGAGCAGAGAGGGGCCTCCCAACACCCCACAGGGAGGGCCGTCGGTCACTGAAAGGACAAAACACCTGAACCGTGGACCGCAAATCAGGTCTGGAAGGTGCGAGCCTTCGCACTGACTCATTCCCTGAAGGAATATTCCGTGGGTGGCGTGGATGCCAGGGCAAGGACAGGCAGAGTGGGTGTGGCCAGCCCTTTCTGTAGAGCTGCCCCTCCACAGGTGCCCACAGAGGGTGGGTCGCAGACCTCCCGAGGAAGGAGGGACCTGGGTAAAGGCTGCCCCTCCCTAGCCCACGGGGGCCTCAGGGCCCCACCCACACCTACTGGGCCTTCCAGGGAAAGGACAGGGCAGAGCTGCCCACCTACCTGAAAACAACCTCCTAGGCCTCTGAGGTCTGTCGGGGCTGAGCTGTCGCCGGGGCCTGGCAGCGTCCACAGGCTGACCCTAGGCAGCCAGGTGCCAGGGCTTCTAGAACAACCAGCACCGCTCCCTGCCCTGCCTCTCCAGAGGTGGGATCAGGTTGGGCCGTGGTCTTACCCATCTCTCCTAGAATTCTCTAGCAGAGTCTCTATCCTGGGGCCACAGGCAGCCCAGGAGTCATTTGAAGTCAGGGTGGCTCCTGCCTGAGTGGCTGAGGGCAGGGCTCAGGTAGCCAGAACCAGCAGTGAACACAATCCAGAGGCCTGCACTGGGCTCCCGTCAGACACCCTCCTCCAGGGAGCCTCCCAGATAACACTTGGTGGGTCACTCACCCGCCATCGCCTGCTCTGTGGGCATCAAACTCCTGCTTGTGCGCCTGTCTGCATGGCTCATCTCCCACCAACCCGTGGCAGAGCGGGGTTCAGACCCAGCTTCAAGTTGGCCAGCTCCCGTTTTTACCAATGGAAGCAGCGCCATCCAACAGAACCTTCTGGACTCACAGGCCTCGCCCAGCGCTGCCCAACGGAACTTACTTTCTAACGACATCAACAGAACTTTCTGGAATGAGGGAAATGGTCTAAATAGTGGGCGCTCCAATAGGGCAGCCACCAGCCACCTGTGGCTCTCTAGCCATTAAAGAATTTTGCACACGGAGCAGCACGGTGGCTGCAGCCATGGCCGCCATGAGGGACAGCACAGCCCTGGCTTCAAACACAGGGCTCTCCACACAGACAGGAACGGCGTCAGCTGCACTGGTTGGGGGCCGACTCCCATCACCGTCGTCCTCGTCACCGTCACCATCCTAACCAGCGACCCTGACGGCACTTACTAAACCTCTCACTGGATCCTCGCTTCCAGGGGCTTTAGGGCGGCTCCTCACCGATCGTCTCCAGAGGACTTGGGGGCGAGGCAGGATCATCCTCTGCTCATTGGGGTGACTCTGAAAGTCTCAGGGGCTGCCGTCTGCTTGGCCACCCAGGGCCAGGCCAGGCCAGGGAGAGCTTGCTTTCTCCCAGGTCACAGCCCCGAGCTCCCTGGGGACCAGACGTGACCAGGAACTCCCCTCCTCGGGCTGCAGGGCCAGGGCCTGAGGAGCCCGCGGAGCCTGGGCAGCAGCCAGGGTGAGGGACCGGCACCTCCTCTCTCTCAGCCGCTCAGGGGGACACAGCAGAGCAGGGATTCTCCTCTCGAGGGACTTTGGCTCAGGACACACCAAGCCAGTTCCTGAAAGTGTCTTCGTTGCCAAGGAGACCGGTTCACACAGAGTAGGGGGGGCGCCCCGAGCACCGCCCCACGTGCTCCATGCACGCCAGGTGGCCCGAGCCCTGGCTTCCAGTCCAGGCTGGTGCCTCAGTTTCTCAGCTGCCGTGGGAAACACCCGGAACCAGATCAGCTCTCGTTCACAGCTCTCCGACCACTTGCTCTAACCGAGGAGAGCAGAGCCGCTCCGTCAGGGAAGGAGAGAATGGGCAAGGATGCTTTCCTCTCGGCACAGGCGCCAGCGACGACTGAGGAGCTCGATGGAGAGTCCCAGGAAGGCTCTGCCGTCCTCAGACCAGGGTGCAAGCCCCACGGGAAGCCGAGTCCTCCGTAGCCCCTGCCAGCTCTCCCCAGGACCCAGGACAGGAGACAGGGCTGGGGGAGGAAGCAGCACACAGGCTGCCCCCAGGGGCCGGGTCGGCAGGGCTGGGGGGAGTAGGGGCAGGCAGGGCCGGGGCTGGACCCGGAAGCCACCGAGGAAAGAGCAGCCTCCACTGCCTCGGGGACTCCCTCACCCAGGGGAGGCGGCAGTTTCCATGCTCATGCTCCAGAGGAAGCCCAGTGACCCGACCTGGGGACCGGTGCGGTCACAGCGCCCGGCCATGGCCACCCTGCACTGTGACAGCAGCCACCACGGCTGAGCCTGCATTACCCCTCCCCCACAGGCAGAAGGTCACCCGCAAACCCATGACAAGTGAGGCCTGCCTGGTGGCACCGTGCCTGTCCCCTCTGCAGGGTTGTGGCTGGGAGTGAGGGTGGGAGAACATGGCTGGGTCAGGCCAACGAGCCCCTGGCCATCGTGGGGAGGCAGCAGCGTTTGTCCCCTCCTCTGGCTGCGGCCTCTCCCACCCTCCCTGGACGTGGGGGGAAGGGACTGGACTCTCTTCCCTGCAGATCGGAGCGAGAGGCTGAGCCGGATGCTGAGCTGGACGAGGAGGCCCAGGCGCTCAGCTGTGCCCCCTGTGCTTGCAGGTCAGCAGGAGCCCGGCGGGCCACGTGCGGGGCACTTCTCAGACCTCCAGCAGAAGTCCCTGAGCTTTCTCCAGGCACTGAAGGTGTGTCCCACCCCTGCTGTGTCCCTTTAGGCCTTTTCTGTTTGAAGTGAGCGGGGTGCAGCCTTTGCCCCCAAAAGCTGAGCAGAAGAGGCCCTGGAGCGGGAACTGCAGGACTCAGAGCAGCAGCCTTCGGGGCGAGGCTGGGAGGGAGGAAGGAGAGGCCGACAGACTGGCCCAGGACATCCAGGGCACGGGGACCTGGGGAAGGATCCCTGCCAAGACTGGGGTCCTTTGGGGGCCCCTCCTGTTCTCAGAGGTGGCACCCCCTGTCCTCTCGCCAAAGAGCAGGGGCCGGGGGAGGGGGGCCGCAGGCTGGGGCCAGCGACCTGAGGCTGGGCCCTCCCTGCAGCTGGACCAGCAGAAGCAGGAGCAGGCCCTGGCCCTTCTGCGGCAGCGGGCGGAACTGGAGGTCTGGGAGACCCAGAAGGCCCTGGACGAGCTGCTCTCCAAACACCGGCTGGCGGTGAGCCTGGCCCTGCCCCTCTGAGCCTGCACGTTCAGCCCCACAGACAGGCAGCGCTGGTGGTCGAGGTGGTGCAGAGAGCACCCCCAGGGCCGCAGGGTGAGGACCAGGGTGAGGACCAGGAAGGTGATGTCATGATCTGGTCAGACGGGACGAGCCTTCTCAGAAGTGACTCTTCTCCGTGTCTGGGGACTGTTGGTGGATGTTCTTATGCAGACATTAAGGGAGGCATTCCCAGGAGAGCAGCAGGGGTGTCTGTGTGCACGTGTCTGTGTGCACGTGTCTGTGTGTACATGTGTCTGTGTGTACATGTGTCTGTGTGTGCACATGTCTGTGTGTACGTGTCTGTGTGTACATGTGTCTGTGTGTACGTGTCTGTGTGCACGTGTCTCTGTGTACATGTGTCTGTGTGCACATGTGTCTGTGTGTACATGTGTCTGTGTGCGCGTGTCTGTGTGTACACGTGTCTGTGTGTGCATGTGTCTGTGTGCACGTGTCTCTGTGTACACGTGTCTGTGTGTACATGTGTCTGCATGTACACGTATCTGTGTGTACATGTGTCTGTGTGCGTGTGTCTGTGTGCACGTGTCTGTGTGTACATGTGTCTGTGTGCACGTGTCTCTGTGTGCACGTGTCTGTGTGTACATGTGTCTGTGTGCACGTGCATGCACTCACGCACATGCTCTCAGACCTACAAGCACACACACACCTGGCCCATTTCCCTTTCTCTCTGCCCCTCTTCCTGCTTCTGGCATCACACCTGTTGGGTGACTGCCGTTCCCCAGGAGCCTTCCAAAGCCACCCTGGCTGTCCACCTCCAACACTCTGGGAGGCCCATCCCCCACCTGACTGTGTCTGCTGGAAACCTGCCACCCTTCCCCCATCCAGCCCCCTTCCAGGCACCTGGCCAGGCCCATTGGCTGTGAGGTTGTCCTTAATCCTCCACACACACCTGTCCTCACAGAGGCGGATGGAGAAGCGCAAGACCCAGACCAGGCCAGGAGCAGCACCAGAGCTGGAGGGGCTGCGGCTGTGGGCGGGCTCGGATCCGAAGACCTCCTGGAGCGCTGTGACGGCCAGATCCAGGTGCGTCCAAGGCCGGGATGGTGGCGCCCGCCCAATGTGGAAGGTGAGGTGGGGGGTCTTGGACAGGCGAGGTACTGGTGCTGCTGGAGGGAGTCCCCAGCGCCTCCTCACCTGGCAGGTCCCAGCCATCCCTGGGCAGAGATACTGCTGCGCCCTCCCGGGGCCCCGAGGAAGGACAGGAGAGGCCGGCCGGCCAGTCAGCCTATGCAGGTGAGAGTCCTCACAACCAGCCACTCTCCACGTGCTTGCCCACGCTCCCTGCGTGGACCCGAGGGGAAACGGAGTCAGGCACACACTGGAGAGGCCCAGAGAGATGGAGTGACTTGCCTGAGGCCACACAGGAAGGATGGAGCCAGGATTTAAACCTTAGTTCATCTGATGCCAGAACCACGATTGGGCCAGGGCACCACTGCTCCTGCTCGTGGCCGCAAGCTCCATACCCATGGGGCTTGGTGTGACTGGCAGAAGCCAGCAGGCGGGCTCTGTGGGCACCGTTATCCATGTCTCTCTGTCCCTCGCTATAGAGCTGACTTCCTCTCTGGCATCAGGTTCCTGCTGCTTGAAGGACCTCCTTTACCATTTCGGGGGTGCTGTTCGCTGGGGACCATGTCTTTTAGCCTCTGTGTGCTCTGACCCAGAATCGTGGGTTCTGCACCTGGCAGGTGGGGACGGACATGCTCCTCAGCGTCTGGTGCTCTGGTGCTTCATTCCCGGCACCAGGGTTTCCCGCGGGCACCAGCAATGGCTTCGAGACGAGGGGACAGGCAACAGCCTCCAGGCCTCTCTCCTCCCAGACCCTCAGCCCACCAGGTCTGGCTGCATCAGTCTCTCCAGACTCGCAGCTCTACTCCTCTCCCAGGTGTCCAGGGCTCTGCCTCAGTTTCCCTCCCCGTGCTGCAGCAAGAGCCTCTTGGGCAGGTGGCTGTGACAACCAGAGGTCTCACCTGCCTGGCTTTTTGTCTCTCAGGGATGAGCGTGCAGTGTTGCCTGATGTGTCTGGAAAACGTTCTTTCATATGTGTGTGTGAACATGTAAACGTGTCTGGGAACGTGTGTCTGCATGCATCCGCATGCATACTTTTTTGTTTACTTGTTAAGTCTTTTCTCAGTGGGACATTAAATCCACACTCCAATCCCCTTGGCCCTCTCCTGGCAGAGGCCGGGTCCTCGTATGACCTTCTAGGAGCACAGGGTCCGTTTTCCATCACACCCAGCACCGAAGGCGGCCCACGGCGTCAGTGGCCAGACCTGCCTCAGCCGGGAGTGTGGGCTCTGCTGTCACCCCACCTGCTGGTGCTGTATTTCAAAAGGGCCATTCTTTCTCTCTGGGCCTCCTTCTCCCCGTCTGTGGAATGGAGCGGCTGGGCCCAGGCACCTCAAGCCCCTCTACCTGGGTCTGGGTTTCTGCAGGGTCAGTGGGTTTGCACACCAGAACTTCATGTCAGGCAAAGTGACAGCGATTCCTTTGGCCTCATGGTTGGTGGGCAGCTGTGTGTATGGGGGCATCACGGTGCTGCCGACATCCCACCTCTCGGGCCGTCCTGTAGGAGCAGCCCCGGAGCCCCTCCGAGGCCCAGCCCTGCTGCTTTCTCTCTGCCCTCAGCGTCCCTGCAGGAGCCGGAGCCAGGACACGCCCCATCCCTGTTGCCCCTGGCCAGGCTCTACCCTTGGGACCACCCTGTTCACCAGGTACA